ACATTCCCATCTCTCTCTCTCCCTCTCAAAAAAAAAAAATCAACTAATGCCATCAAGTGCTGCCTCTCATGTAAAAATGCAGAACAAAACAGTTGACAGCAGGGCAGGAAGTCAACACCAAGACTTCTGTATTTTTGAGTCTGGCTATTTTTAGGCAAGCTGATGAGTATTCTTCTTCTCAGTGTTGGAAAATGCATTCAGGCCATCATGACACACAAACCAAAACTAAGGGTGCTTTCACACCTACAGCGTTTAGTTCAATTGAATCGAACTAGGGTTCGTTTTCCCTCTTGGTGCGGTTAGTTGTCTGGTGTGAACACTGTAATCGCACTCGAGTGCGCACCAAAACAACCACACCGAGACCCCCAAAATGAGGTGGTCTCGATCCGCATCATTTAGCGAACTCTGGTGCGGTCCTCCTGGTGAGAACGCATAACGAACCAAAGCAGGACCAAAGGCTGTGAACCACATGATTTGAGGGCATTGTATTATGGGTAGATTTTATTTCCTGTCAACCAAAACATGCGCCAGGATGAATCGTGGGCAAACTGTATGACTTGGTTTAAGTGGTAAATGCAAGTAACGTAATACAAAATAACCAGGGCAAGGCCCAGCCCGCGTATGTTCACCTCCATCCTCTCTCATCACAGAAATGTGGACTTTCTTCCTTTATTTACTTTTTCTGTTCTCGCGGCAGACACATCTGACCAATAAGCGGAGAGAACGTTCTCACGTAGTTTTACATGACGTGTTTTGGTGCGCTTGGATTTTTCCGTGTGTGAAATGAAACCGAACCAAGGAGACATTGCTACATGTTTACAAACTCGTCAACTGATTCGGACCAAAGCAAATGAATTAAGGTGTGAAAGCACCCTAAAGCTGCATGAGACGCAGAGAGTCCTCTGTTTTCATTTAGTCCTGATAGCTCCTGTTGCTTGTTGACGCACTTTGTGGCCAAGCCGGTGGCGGAGGCACCTTCAACATTAATTACACTGGACTACTGTAGTGGACTTCTCACATTTTAGATTTGGGGCATTTGCTCATGCACTCATTACAAAGTCATAAGTGCCCGATCGCAGAATACCCTGCGGTTCATGTATCAACGTCAATACGAAAACAGAAGCAGCAATTAGCCCAAAGGAGGGCAAGTTTGAAACAACTATTCTTTTCAACTATTTAGGAGTTAATGGTTGAGAACTTGATTACATTTCTAGTTCAACAATAAGGCATACACAAGCAATCAAAATACTGCTCACCCGGCCTCTCTCCACCTCCTTTGTGGTCATTACAATGACATGTGTATTCTCCTGATAGACCATCTTCCAGAAGTCCAGGACTGTATTCTGTAGGCACCCCTGGGTGGCAATGAAGACTTTGCCCTCCTCCACATGGCGCCCCTCTTCATGCATACTCTGTACAGCACAAAAAAAATTACACCAAAATAAAGCATAATGTAATAATGTAAATCAAAATTCCTGACAACAGGGTTTCATATATGGCAATATACAAATAATTAAGACTAAAATGAAGAAATAAAGGGTTTAAAATTTAAGCCTATTGCTTATAAAACAGGAGGTATATTTTAAGAAGCCATCTATGTTGCCTCAACTCCGAGGTAACCGACTATATAATGCTGTAAAGACTCACTCTGATGTAGTTGGCATTGATGTAGTCTGAACAAGGAACATCTTGATCGGCTTCCTTGATTTCAACACGAGTTGTGTCAACTAAAGATACAAAGTGAAACCATCATTAGCCTATAACAAAATAATCACTTTTTTCCAAAACTAAATGTGACGTGACAGTCTGAGTTATTAAACCAAAACCTCAAGCTTTTGCTGAGGTTTCTACATTGTCTGTTGTGTCATTGTTTCCACAGGAAGGTGGAGAGACAGGAAATGGCAGGTTGCTGCGTGACTCACAGGGGAGGATATTCTTGTATCTGTTTTTACTCTTGTTTTCGAGCTTCTGACCTTCTTTCCGGGGATACAGCAGTTTGCACTCCTGCTGCTGAAGTACCTGACACAGCACACGACAAAGGAGAGTGAAAAGAAAATGAGATGTTTTTATAAGAACGGGTTCCAGGAAGTTCTAAACATGAGAATATCCAGGATACTGCAACTGCCAACCATTTCCATCTTTAGGGGTCACACTGAAGTGCAAGAACACAAAACTGCATTTGTCAGTATTCAAGCTGCACATTTAAGAGGAAAGGTTTCAGCAAGTTTCCTCAAATACAAGAAGGGCTCTCTAGTCCTTCATTTATAC